GAGGAGGAGGAGGGGGAGGGGGGGCCGGGGGGAGCAGACCCGTGGCAGGGGGAGGGGGAGGGGGAAGGGAAAGGGGAGGGGGCGGAGGGGCATCCGTGGCATCCTCCCCGCCATTGGAAGGGACGTAGGGCAATTGAAGGTACTTCGCCAACCGGGTGAAGGACCTCCCGCTCATCCCGGCGCCGTGCACGCAGAAAAGCACCGGGGGGTCCTTCGCTGAGGGGTCCTGCTGCGCATCGAAGATATACAGGCGAAAGGGCTCTTGCTTGAAGTTGAGAAAGGTGACCTCGCGGGGGAAACTAGACATCATGCAGTGGCAATCCGTCCCAAGAAAAAATGATAGAGCCTATCCGGTACTGAAACACCACCACCACAACGGAAACGGTAACGGACTTTTGAGTCAACTAAATATTAATCCTAAGCGAATCGATCACAAAAACAAGAAGAAGGTAATATTGGGTAAGATAAAATTCCAGAAATAAGGGTGCACAAAATTGCTACTTCACCTTTTCTTTAACATTTTTTTCGACTGGGGTTAATCTTGTTCGGCGAATCAATTACTCATTCATCCAGAGACTGAAGAATAGAGCAGGATGATCGGTGCACAATCACCTGACGAGTGTCCTTTATCACACTTGAATCAAGAATCTGCTCCAACGCCGCATTTTTGGCGCGAAGTTTGCTTATTTGCGCCTGGATATTTCCCATCCGCTCTGCGAAGTCCTTCTGCTCAACACAACGCAGCGCATTCAGTTCCTCTATATACTTCCTCAGCCCAAATAGCTCCTCCTGCCTCCTCTGCATCGTCTCCAGAAAGACGCCCCCTTCGCGCTCCATATCCGAGAAGCGGAGGAATAAATCGGCCCCCACCAACTGCCCTAAAAGCGATTCAAAGTAGACGGCATCCGCCGCCATCAGTGAAGAATCATCGCAGAAGCGTGATGACGGCTTTTCATCAAGATCCTTCAAGCCGAGGGCGCCTGTACTGCTTCCACTTGCGGCAGGGCAATAACCGTTGCTTTCATAGCGAGGGCGTTTCAAGCTGTACTCTGGCATCGTAAGATTTGATATCCATGCGCAGCGAACCCCCCCATCCGAAACGTCCGACGCGGGACTACCGTTGCTAAGGTTAACCATCACCGGAGACTTGGTTAAGGTAGACAAAAGAGGATCTTGCGAGGACTTCTTTAAGCTCGAATCACACCCTCGTCGAAGATTTGACATCTCCTCCATGATGCAGTGCTGCTGAGATCTGCTTAATTCAGCGGCACTATGCAAAACGCTTTGCGCGTTTGAATCTCTCGAGAGCTCCTCTGAAACCAGCGCACGGGCTTGGGAAAGACGGCCTAGCGGAAGGGGGGGTTGAGCATACGGGAGATCCACACACGGACGCGGCATGGTTGCTATAGATCGAAGATAATCTCAAGAATCCTAGCTCAACCTAAACCGGGAGTAAATTTGACCTCCCCCCTAACAAAACAAATGATTTGTCCCTTCACTTGAATAAAGCCTCTCAAGAATTAAGAAATACAATAGAAAATAAAGAGGCCAAAAGATCAGTGTCCGTCATGAGTAAAGGAGGGTTTCCATGGGTCGTCTAAATAAGAAATCTAAATGCTTTAGCAAAGACAGCAAGCTGTGGTATACTTTGATTTAAGGCTATTACTACATGTTTGCGAAAGTATTTATGCAATTATAACCCCTTCTTATATATCAGTTAGCATCGCATTTTCATCACAACCAGGCAATACAAAATATCCTCCCGCCCCCTTCTCATCCTTCCGATTACTACCGGCATAAAGCTTTGCACATAAATGTTATATTTACCAATTTCGTAGGGTGGCAAATCCACCTCTACCCAGTTAAGATAATGAATATTTATAAAAATTCTGCTAAAAATGTACAATCGAAAAAATAAAAAAGCTAGCCAATGATTGAACCTATGGGACTTGGTATTAATCTTAGTTAAGCTCTTCCACGTTTCTGTATTCTGCTGGCTTTTGCTCATCGTTCTTTTTGTCGGCAATTCTTTTTTTAGACTGTCGGTTAATAAAATCCATGCGATTTCTGACAATTCGTTCAATCAGAGTATCCGTTGATAATGTGCATTCGGAATCAACCTCACGATAAATACCCAACTTTTTGGGAAGTTCGTGAGACAAATCAATTTCAGACGTGTTAGAATTATCCTCAACGCGAAACTTGCCACTGACTACGATGTCAATGCGAAGACTTTTGATGATATCCTCTGTAATGATAATGGGTACCCCCATCACGACCTCGTCAACAAACCGACAAGACAAAACCCCAAGGATGCGCTCATTTAAGTTCATAATGGGGTAGTTGTGATTCTTAATCCGATTGCACTCCTTGTCTGCGTAAATACCTGCAATTAGGTAATCCCCAAGGGCACGGGCCTTTTGCAAAACTCGAATGTGGCCTACATGGAATAAATCAAAGCTTCCGTCGACGTAGACGACCTTGTCACCCTTCTTAGGAAGGCGGTTATTGCTAAACTGCACAATTTTACGCGAGGTAGTGAGGTAATGGGAAGTTTGAATAGCATCCGGGTTCGAGCTTTGCACATCGACGTCATCTAATGAGTTTAACATATGAACCTTTGTGCACAACAGCATTCGACCTACAAGATCGGTTGTAGATATTCCCTCAGTCCGCTTCACAACCTTGAACTTCCCAGCGTCGATGATCTCCTGGTAGGAGTTATGCCCATCCAATCCGACAGAGATATCATCGCCGTGCACCACAAAGTCGATCTCAAAGCGCTCAATATCCTTCAGCCGCGTACAGTATGGGTAGTTCTCGACGACGTAGTCAACCCACTTGCAGGCGCGCAGCGATTCGTATCGCTCGTCCTCGTGCATAATCGGGGGTCCTTTATGCTGGATAACCTCCTCATCGGAGTGCGAGCCGACGAAAAGCTCCGTTCCCAGGCGGGAGGCCTGACGGAGGACGTTTGCGTGGCCGAAGTGAAGGAGATCAAAGCAGCCGTCAACCCAAATGCGAATAGCCCCGGGCGCCTTTGGAGGGATCGTCGTCGTGGAGAAGAGCGGGTAGGGATCGTTGGGCTCATCGGCGTTGAGCCATACACGACCAGAAGGGACCTTAACAGACATTGTAAAAAAGAATAGCCACAATGAACTATATATCTAAAATAGTAATAACAATTAGAATGATAGGAATAATAACAATAATAATAATAATAATAGCAATAATAAGTGTTGTCTTCTAAAGCTAGAACAACATTACAACTCCTGCCTTTTATATGTGGGAAGAATGATACCTTTGCAATGCAAATATTTTTTATTCATAAATATATATATATATTTATAGTGCAAACAATAATGAGGATTAAGCACTCTTAGAAACTAAGAAATAAAACTACTTTTGTCGTAAATTTATCAAAATGATATATTACTCATATAATCAATTTTCATAAGAGGAGAAATAAATGGGAGAGAAGAGAATGCATCGGAAATGTTTTTGATCGCACTGAATGGGGTGCGTTTTGCGCATAGCCGACGTAAATAGCCAATGAACAGCATAAACATATATATCTGTGTTAGTCAGAAATTGAGAACAAAAAAGTTACAAAAGATCAGAGTAGAAAAGGAACTTTCACGTCTACTGCACCACAGCGCGCTTGGTGCCCTTCTTGACGAAGATCGCACGGTCCTTGCGGGCGGCCTTGATGCGGCGCTGCAGCAGCGGGAAGGAGAGGTTCGCGGGGTGGTATTGCGAGATATTCAGGCGGCGCACCTCGTGATTCGGGATGCTCTTCACCTCGAGGAGCTCGATGTTGTGGTAGCGCGCGCGATGACGGGAGGCGAGGTCGTGGTAGGCCTGGCTCACCGCACCCGCCTTGGAAACGTCGCGGAACTCCTTCACCATCCGCGTGAAGCCGCAGCGCTGGCTGTAGTACGCGATATCCACGAGGTAGTTGCGCGCCGCCAGCTTCGCGTCCTTGACGACCTTGCAGGAGAGCACATCACCGTGGGTGGACTTGACCTTGTTCTTCTGACGCATCATCCGCCAGAAGCGGCTCTTCGCCACGACGAAGTTCGGCGCGAAGACCTCAAATTTGTAGACGGTCGGATCGGGGTTCTTCTCCGAAGGGGTCTCGCGGCCGACAACCTGGTAGTGCCGAAGATGGGGCTTCACCATTGTTGATTACCTGTGAACAAGCACGCGACTCTTTTTACTACTCCTATTGAAGAAAAAAAATGATGAGAGGGGCAAGGAAAAAATATTTAATCAATTCAAACATGAAAGGATGAGTATGATAAAAATTGATAATCATAAATAATGAAACTGAATAAGACACACTAGAAGATATAAGCAATAACATCAAGACTTCTCTAAATAGGTTGCACCTATCTCAAGGAAATGAAATGAAATAGCTTACTAAAAATTGTCAAAGTGCTCTTTTTTATATAAAAAAAGATGGGTGTTATTTTTTTTTAAAGTGGGATCCCTATGGAAAACCACCAGTTTCTTTTACTTACAAAATCGAAGAGCATACACGCATGGATCGACATAAATTACCTATCTCTTACGAAATCGACGATAAGTCTCTTTTCTACAATAATTCATATGAATATCTTACGCATAGCATTGTTCTCCCTTTACTGTTACTCTCCTCCCTCTTAGAACCTTGCTATAGCTGCGTGCTTAATAAATTTGATATCCACCTTGTGGCCAAATAGCTCGTGAATGTTGTTGATTCCATACTTGATCATAGTCGGGCGTTCCAACGACAGACCCCATGCCATCACCTGGACGCCAGCGTCAAAACCCATCGGCCCAAGCAGCTCAGGGCGGAATAACCCGCTGTTGCCCACCTCAATCCACTTCTTTAAGCCGTTGTGGTAGCCAAAGATCTCCATTGAGGGTTCCGTATATGGGTTAAAGGCGGGCTTAAAGCGCAACTTTTCAATACCAATCCGACGGAAAAATTGATCAAAAGTGTGCATCATCTTCGCAAGTGAGATATCGCGGTCGATGACAAATCCTTCCACCTGATGAAACTCGCACAGATGTGTCCGATCCATCTGTTCGTTGCGGAAAACGCGATCAATGCTGTAGTAGCGGCCTGGACGAAACATGCAACGCCCTTCCGTATCTACGCCCGACTGCAACGCGAGCTTGTACAAGGTGTACGCGGAAGAACCGGTGGTGTGTGTGCGCAGCACATTCCGCGACGCCTCCTCCTCCTTCCACGTCGTCCGAAACGCCTTTTCGTGGGCGGCGCGAACGCGTTCGAGAAACGCCCGTCGCGTGATCTCGCTCACGGCCGGCTTCGAAATAAAAAAGGTATCCTGAACATCGCGTGCGGGGTGCTGCTGCGGGATAAAAAGTGAGTCAAAGTTCCAAAAAGACGACTCCACCCAGTGCTGCGTCTCCATCTCCTGGAAGCCAAGCTCCATAAAGATCTCTCGAAACTCCTGACGCACCTTGAGAAGCGGATGAAGCTGGCCGACGTCGGCCTCTGGGGCAGCCGCCTCGAAGTTGTACTCCTTAAAGTTAGTCGTGCTCCAGGAACCGTCCTGAAGCATCTTCGCCGTGAGGTCTCCTACCGCCTTACTCCTGCGCTCCGCGCTGTATTGAGAGCCTTTGGTGAGTTCAAAGAACTTGGAGACCTCCAGCGAGGCGAGCTTACGGCGCTTTAGCGCGGCCACCTCGTTAGGCCCCACCTCCTCCCCACCAACCGCGCGCTTTAGGGCCTCCCGGGTTTCATCCGTGAAGCTCTTCACGCGCCGGGAAATGAAGGTCTCGTTATTCTTCTTGCTGATATTTAAAATCTTCGCCTTCATGCCATTGGACACCGCAATAGAGGCAATGGCCTTCCCCATTCGTTCCTCCACCTCAGACTGACTTAATTCCTTCTCCTCTAACATCTGAAAAAGATTATACTCAGGGCTGCCGTTAGAAATGATCTGGTGTGCCTCATCTGTCAGCTTCCACACTGAACGAGAAGCAATCTTTGATAGGATATACCCATCAGATTCCAAAGACTTGGATGCTCCCACCACCTCCTGATGATCCAAGCCAAGCTTTGTTGCTAAGGTATCAGAGGATACTACGTCTTCCGACAGCAAAGCCTTTAGTATGGCACCTTCTACCGCTTGACTCATTGGATAAAATAGTTTTATTTATACAACACGATCGATAAATGGCTTAAATGAGTTTACAACTAACTGAAAAAAAAAGGGAAATAAAGAGAAACAGATGAAGATAAATTTTGCAAGTTAATCCATCCATCGCCACTGCACTAAAGAAGTTGCTCCTTCACCGCATTCACGAGTAGGGAGCTCCAGGAATAATGCAAGAAACACATTTAGCAGTTTGTGTCAGCCATGATATTTTAAGATTTGTAAAGGGGAAACAAAATATCCATTTTGAAAAAAAGGATAAAGAAGGCTATGAGCCCCTTACTCCCCTGTACGCTTGAAATCCATGTAGTTGTGATGGTATTCGTAGAAACTACACGAAAGTACGGTTTATACAAACTAACATAGATAGCGCAAATGGGTCACCATTTCGTCTGTGTAAAAAAGACGAGGAATAGCCGTGAGATTGAAGCTGTCAAAATTACCTATGCGCAAACAGAAAGCCAGGTCCCCCCACTTGAATTTTCCATTTTGGCACATATACCCATTTTTATTCCGTTACAAAGTTGAGCCATGTTGTAAGGGAAGACGGACAGGGATGAAGTCGTCATGAAAAAACTCCTGAGCGACAAAATGAGCATCGCGTATCAGATCCTCTCGTGTTTCGGAATCAATCTCCATAACCTGCCTGGCTCGCTTGCGACTTACCTCTTTCATCTTGAGAGGTGAATGCCCCATTTCTTGTTGCGGCGAGGAAATATTCGCCGACGCGCTTGGTGGTGTTATTTGAGTTACCTTGCCCTTTTCCTCCATATTATCGAAGGGGGCAGCGTTGTGCGTCCGCCCTGGGAAGCCTGAACCGGGGTGATGCTGCTGCAGCCACGGCGGCAGGTGAGCACGCTTCTCTATTTTCTTCCGATTCTCCTCACGCATCGACGCCTCGACCTCGCGCTGAGAAATAAGCCGCACGCGAATCGTGTTGGGGTTGCGGTGGGCAGCGCGGAACTGGTCGGCCACCGTCGCTTTCCCTTCAAGTCGCTTTTCGTACTCCAGCTCTGTCATGATATCCTCCGAGTTCACAACGTAGCGATCGTCGTTGATGCATGCAAAGGGGGCACTATAAAGGTACAAAAACGCGAGAGCCTGCTGCACCAGAAACGGATCCCGAGCTAACGGGCAGCTTCGAACCTCCGGAAGCGGGTTCGCATCCGCCAATGCAGTATTACGGTTGAACCTCACGGAAGGGGAATCTGGGGCCGACGGTGAAGCCAGAGAGGCTCCAGCTTGCTCCACTTTTCGCCTTGTCGCCAAGAAGGGCACCGATACTACCGATCCATCCCGTTTATATTTTGCATTCATTCTATCTCTTATAGCCTCAACTATCACTCGTAGGACATCAGTTTTGCAGCCCATACATCGAGAAGCGCTTTTCACAAACTCGTCAAGGCCATAATAAGTTCGGCATACAGGGCAAAAAATTCCCTCCGATGCTTCACGTCGTTTGATGGCGTCTGATAAGCTATAGGAGGCCATACTTCCCTGTGGCGTTGGGGCGTGCGCCACTACTTTTGAATTGTCGATAGCGGCCCCACGCGGTGAGGCTTGCAACGCCGGGACTAACAGTTGCTCATCAGGGACCTGAGAAACACTTCCTTTAGGCATACTTGGCGGCAGTGGTGTGGTGCAAAGGGCGAGCAGGATCTGCGAAACATGTGCGTACACAAAAGGCAAGATGCGCTTGTAGTTTAAGAAATACCGCACGCCATCCTTGTTTAATTTGCGCGCATGCGATGCAGGCCCATCTTCGACGGTGCTCTCCGTGTTCAAGTTCAGCGAAGTGCATTGCATATCCAAAGGGATGGTGTCTAATCCGAGCTGCACACGCTCTTCAGAGAGCGCAAGATACTTAGCCAGGTCCTGTTTTGTGGCGCCATTCGCGCCAAACACCAGACAAAGTGCATCCGCCACAACGATAGTGATCGGGTGGAAGTTGCATAATCGGAAGTACAGCTGTGTAATAGCAATCACACGCTGAGCACCCGCCCCAGGCGTAGTCGCGTCCCATTCCTTCGCCCCTCCAGAAACCCCATTGGAGGATTGCATATTTTCTCTAATCTGTAAAATTAACACTCAGAAATTGCATAAAGTAGGTAGCTGAATAACCCATCTTCCTGCATGAAACGTGGAGGAATCAAGATGATTTAAAACAATGCATGCCGATTGAATAATCAAGATTAGGACGGTACATACAGTCTTTCAGTTATGTATCTTACGGATACATTAGATTTCAGTGTGTGTATTTTTGCTACCGACGCCCAATGACCCATTAGTATTCGCAGATAATATAGATACCCCCAACGAAAATAAACATGAATAAAAGAACAACCAAAAATATTTTTATATATATTTCTTTACGTGAAACAAAACCTAAAGTTTCAATAGAAAACATGGAATTCATTCCATGAAGTTTCACAGGGAAAAAAAATTAACACGGTAATTACTTCTTATGTCAAGCTTTCTATTAGACTACATATTTATATAGATATAAATATATAGATATGACTTAATGTTCTTTACAGTTAAGACGAAGAGTTGTCTGCATTATTGGATTCCTTATTAGAGTGCTCTCCCCCTTCACCGCGGCGACTATCTGCGTTGGCGTTCGCCTCTTCATCCATGTTATCCTGCTCGTTTTCAGCACCTGTAAGTGGCTCAGGTGGAAACCGTGAAAACGTAATGCGTAAGTAGCGTTCCTTGAGTTGGATACCATGTGCCGCGACGAGCGCGTTGATCGCATCTCCGATATCCTTAAAGCCGACGATAGCCACCGTCGCATTTTTTCTGTAAAACTTTTCGATAACCGCATTCCTCTTTGTTAATTTACTCTTCAGTTCGTCATCTGTTATACTATCAACGAGGTTAGAGACAAAAAGGTTTTTATCTGGTCGAATGCGGCTGAGTGGGTTGAAAGGCGCCGAGGGCTTCGTGCGGTGGTGAAACCCTGACGTGAAGAGCACGGCCTGGGTTGCAGGGTCGGTTGCAGGCCCCGCATTCCATTCGATTTTCCCGCCCCGTTCCACGTAACCTGCAAATAACTTGAGCCCTAGCATACGATCATGAAAAGGGCAGTTCTGCAGGTACACCACCGCCGTCTTGGCGTCCAGGAAGTGCTGAAACTGGGCGGAGACGCTGGTCTTATCCTTATACTGCCGCCTCAGGGAATCGACGTTGCCGTAGACCTCAAGAAGCACCCAAAGATCGTAGAGCGGGACATTCTCCGCGACGTTGCTGATCACCACCGTCGCCTCCTCCGGCTGCGGGACCATCGGGCGCCCTCCACCGTAGACGGCGACGCCGAGGGGGTCAAACCCCGCACCGCTCATGCCGGTGTTGTAATAGGGGGCCGCACGGCCTTCCCCACGAGAAAACCCCGCCCCCCCGCGCGATCCCCCTCCCCTCCCACCACGCCGACCATCGGGCGGTCGATTCATCATCATCTCCGGCTGCTGCTGCATCAGATAGGGCATCGACTCCACCGCGCGAGGGGCGCTACGTTGGTCAAAAAAACCGGGATGCCCCCCTGCCCCCCCTCTTCCCCCGCGCGAGCCGGAATTGGGTTGGTTGGACTGGTGGTAGTAGTTCGCTTGGTCATAGCTGAGCTTCACAAAGCAACAACCAGGGTAAATATTCTGATTGTTAAACTGCTGCATCGCCCGTTCCGCGGAGGCAACGTCGCTGAACTCGACATTCCCGATCGTGGTGGGGCCGGAGGGCCCACAATATACGTGCGTTGGGGGTGCAATCATGCTAAACATCTGCAACAAGACATCCCGGGTGACGGTGTAGCGGCAATCCTCCACAACAATTCGAAGTCGATTCGTGGGGAAACGGCTGCCGCCATCCCCTTGGGGGACTTGACCCCCCCCCGAAACCGCCCCTGGATAAATCGAGGCGGGTTGGGAAGGCTGCAGCTGCGGAGGGGGAGGAGGGGGGGCCCCGCCTGCCCCGGGGAGGTTGTAATAATTGGATGGAGGGTACGTCGGCTGCTGAGGGGGCTGCGGCTGCCCGAACGGATCCACCCGCACGGTGGACCCAATCACATTAACGGTATGGCGACTAAGGAGAGCCTGGGCCTCCTGGATGTTACGCATCGTGACGGCAGCCTGAGAAGTCTGGTGATTGAGCTGTATATCCATGGCCGTCCCGTACATAAGAAGCGCACGATGAATGTCAGACTCTTGACAGTTAAAAGGAATATTACTGAGTATAACAGTGGATGTGGACATGCTGCTCTTTTCACCTCTATATTTTTTTTTTTAGAAAAGGAATTACCCGTATTAATTTCAAATATATTAAACACGAACGGTTGGAATTGAGCACAAGGGAAAGCCAATAAAGTCTCAGACGAGATTAATAATGCCTCAAAGGGAAGAACAAAGTACTTCTTACGCTTTGTCTTCGGAACTAACAAGAAGAATAATGACAACAATAGCAAATCTAAACCTCAAAAAGTGAATACACAAAGCCTCTTCTCCTATTTCTCAGGTCGTAAATACAAGTTTATTGATTTATTTTGGAGTGTTTTTTAATTCAGATTTTTCTTTTGAGTTGGTCTAAATAATTGATTATCTTTGCGTATTTTACGATGTTCAAATAATATGAATAAGTTTACTTATATTGTTCCTAATATTGCTTTGGGGAGATAAAGATACATTGTAGGAATGGAGGGAGAACACAATGCGAATAAATCAATAAATAATATGAATTAACGCGTAAATAGGAGCGTTAACTGAAAGGAGCGACATAATGTCGATAAAATCGATTCAAACCTTTTGCGATATTCGTTTTATCCCCTTTAGCATTTTACTTAACGGCTAGATTGTTCACATAATAAATTTAAGATCTCAGTGTCTGTTTTGCCAGATATTGATTCAAGTTTGCAATCACAATGTAAATCACATCAGGTTAATGTAAAAATAATTCAGACTATCATCACGGGTACTCGGATACATAAACATCCGCTTATATCTATAATCTATAACTTCCTCTCTTCTCAACGCCTATCTATGTAGTGATAGCTAGAATGATAGATATAGTTTAATTCTGAAACTCACGGTCTTTTCCTAATCGGAGAAATACATAGAACTCGGTGCCTCTTCTCCTATTTTACTCCCTATTTTATCGCGCTCATTTTCTGTCGCAACCTTTTTTTCTTTTGCATCATCTGGGTTGCTTAGGCTTTCTTTTTTTGAGATACCGTAAAATTGACATTCATCTCAAGTCCCCCCCCTTACCGAAAAATACAACTCAAAATAAGGACAATAACATTAGCCCCTATGGGAGACAAACAGGTTCTTTTTTTCATCGATCGAGTGAATGAGTTTCAAAAAATAAAGGCTCGCGCCTAAATTGGTTATCCTATCCGAACAAACAACACCCCCCCCAAAAAAAAGATTTGGAGCTCCGTTACGATTAAAGACAACGTTCATGGGTAAATCATATATGTAAAGCGATGAAGAAGATGGTTGCTTGGAGTTCTCCCATAACCCCCTAATCATTTCAACATAAAATGAAGGAAATGAAAAATGCTGAAGCACCTGAGAGAATGGGGAAAATTAATTAAAGTGGCCGGGCGTTTAATACAAGGATAGACCGCATATAGATCAAAATAAAACGAGAAAGGCCTTCCCTATGCACAAACGGATGGAAGCGAGTTTTGCGTTGCGAAACCCGCTGCGAAAAAGCTTACGATAGGAAATCGCAGACTAAAGAAGAACATCGATGGGTTAAAGTGCTCAAAACGTAAATTCTCCACTCGGCTTATAGTTGAGACCATAAAGAGCTACGGTGGACGCACTGGAAATGCGAGAAGAAGGGGTAAAAACACGGTAAACACTCCAAAACATATCAGAATACGTATATCTAAGTATCTGCGCTAAAAAACAGGAAACAAATGAAAAGGGTTCCATAAGTAATTCGATGATTACCAGGTTCTTACAAAAAGAAAAACTTTAGTAAAAAAGTAGTTATAATGATAGATGTTAATATGTATATTTGAAGTAAGTTGGTGAGGGGGGATGGGAAAGGAAAGATCAAGGCAATGTTAAGGAAATTGACAATAAGAGAAAAAAAACACCTACTATTAGTCACAAGTAAGCAAAAAGTAGAGAGACCTCCTTCAGAAAAAGGATGCGCAGACCGCGAAAAGAGGAAAGCACTCGTTTTTTATTCGCATACTATTTATAAATTAAATTCAACGCACAACAGATCAAATTGGATTAACTGAAGAATGCTATTTTCGAAAGGAATTAGCTCCTATGCTTATCACACATCAAGCCCCAAGAATTTGTATCGAATTATTCAAACCACAATGTTAAAACGGCTATACCGTACGCCAGATATTTTTCCCTCTTTCTCCAGAAAGACTCTACAAGGTTTCGTTTCATGACTATTTTGGAGCATCCACGAAGATTACGTTCGATCGCTCTTCGCCGCACACATTCCCATGACAGGTGATCAGAAGCTTAACAACAGTCTCCGTGTCACTCATATGCACCCAGAAGACACCCTCACTATCGGTGGAAATATTTTCCGGGAAGAAATTTTGACTGTTGAAGTAGGTCATGAGGTCAGACTCGGTATAATTCGCGCAGCCGGTGATCTTGACAAAGTTGGTGGGAGCATGCGTACTGCGCTGGCCTGGACTCCGATGCCGAGCCGCGGTGAAGTCAAACTGCGTCGTTTCCGGATCCAGTGGATCCCCGTCGTCGGTGCACGGGTTCCGTTCGATGTAGGTTGGGAACTTCTTCGCGCTGACGGTGCCGCCCGCAAACGGGATGCGATGAAGGAAGCGAGTGACCGCATCCGCGTCAGCCGGGGTGGCCATCTTCACCGTGAGTATCTCCTTCTGCTTTTGGTTGCGTCGCATCGACACGACCCCGCCGTAGGCCTCAATGAGGACGAAAATCGACTGCAGCGGCTCCGTCATCGGGACGACCGTGACGCTGAGGTAGACGGTGCTGGCGGGGACGGGCGCGACGAAGGGCATCCCCGGGCCCCCCATCAGCGGCCCGCCGGGGAAGGGCATCAGGCCGAGGAAGGGCGGCATCCCCATCGACGAGGGGGCGCCCATCGGGTTGAAGCCGGCCCCTCCAGCCTCAAGGGCCCCGCCGCCGCGACCGCGCCCGGCCCCTCGACGGCCCCCTCCCCCTCCTCGCATCCCCCCATGCGGGGGCGCGTGGTACGCGTTGGGCCCCGTCGGAGGGGGATACGGCGTGTAGGGGGCGGCGCTGGAGTCACTGATCGGGCCGTACCCTCCTCGCGGCGGGAGGGACGGGTTGGGCAGGAAGGACATCCCCATGATGGAGTTCGCGTTGGGCCCGCCATTGGGCATGAGGAGGGAGGTTGAGGGGTAGGGGAGGGGCTGGGGTTGGTGGAACATCCCCATCCCCTGGGCGCCCCCGTAGGCCTCAGTGGGCAAGGCGAGGACGGCGTTGTTGCCACGGTTCATCTCCCCACCCAACATTATGTCGGCAGAGGACGGCATGTACGTCATGGACATCTTGTTGGCGTTGTTGAAGATGTTTCGGTTATTCAGACTTGACATCACACGTTCCGCGGAGAAGGTATCCACAAACCGGACCACAACGTTCGCTTCACTGCGGGAATTCGAAGGGGAAATGACAATGTTCTGAATCGCGGCGCCCACTTTATCAAAAACCCGTCTCATGACTTCCTCAGTTACGGGTTGATGAATTTCTGTGATGCGGATGCTGAGTGTATCCGAAGGAGACCCCGAGACGCCGCCATCGTTGCCAAAATTATGATTGGGGATGAATATACCGCCACGGCCTCGTTGAATATATCCCCCACGCATAGTGAATTCTAGTAGTCAAATACACGAATGTAAATAAAAAAATATCAATAGGTGTGGATATGTATATTATGATAACACTTCAACAATTGAAGGTATTTTTGAGTGAAATTATCGGAATAAATCGCTAATTGAAACCAAACTACGAAGCAAAGACAAAAAAAAAACGAATTAGTCTCGAAAATTTCAAAATACAAATTCCATGTGATCTACCATCAGCAAAACATATTTCTCCATTTTTCATGGCCTTCACAATAAAAATTTGACGTTCGTATATAATAAAAGATGTATGCGCAAGGGTAAGAATGCAAGTTAGAAAACCCCACAAATGAACACTCTGAGAGAAACACATATTAGAAGAGTGGGATTTCAAAAAGCAAAATGATAAGAAAAAAGATAAAGGAAAATGGGATGCAAAAAAATAGAATTAGAGCAATACGAAAAACAGTTCGATCTAGTGTTTGGCGTACGTACGCACAACCTTTTCTACGTATTATCACAATCATGGAAAAAACATGTAAATACCGCGAAGTAATAAAAGATATGGAGGCGCCAAATAAAAGATAAAGACTCAAAAAAGAAGAGAATCTAAATAAGACACACTAGTAATTGTTCTCAGGGTTATTGACGAACTTCGAGAAGACGTGGTCGAAGTCCTCAGTGCCTTCAATCACATGAGGTGAGTTGTAGCTCTGGGAGTCTTTCTCAGTCGGAGATGCAAGCACAAAGGCACTAACCGTGGCGGTTGGCACCTCTATCGGAATCTTACAACCTGGCAGTTGCCCACTACCCCCATCCACATCTCCCTGAAAGACAGATTCGTCGTGTGTGAAGGACAAAATACCGCTCACCATATCGGCACCGTCAGGTCTAAGATTTGATGGTCCCCGTACGGATTGTGTAGTACTCATTTCGTTATGGGGGTTAGAGATGTCATTCTCACTACGCCTTCCCACCAAATCGTGAGACTGTCCTGGAAGCATGATCTCCATACCGCTCGCGTTGGGTTCAATCAAATATTTAAGAGGTTCAGCACAGCTATCGTAGGGCTGCGTGTCTGTGGCGGTGGAGACCTCCTGAAACGGGTTATCCAAACTCGTATTTATGAGCCGAGAGTAGGCATCTTTTTGGAGTTGAGAGCGAGATTTCCGAATGAATGAACGCAGCGCCTCCCCAGCCGCAATTTCCTCCTCTTGAGACCATTCTTTTCCACATTCGAGTGCTTCTTGGCGGTCTTTCTTGATCCTCTCCGTAAATATCATTTCATCTTGCTTTTCTTTCAAATACAATTCAACTGCTGTCTCATTGGTCTGCCTAGAAATGGCCAATGGTGATGCCTCGGTGGAGGTTTCATCGTTTTCCAGCTTGACCATCCGAGTCCACGTTCGGCGACGCACCATACAATTAGGAGTTCGGGTTTTCTTAAACAACGCTGGCTGATGGTCGGGAGATTCAAAGAACAGAGCATAACGCCAGCCAGCAGGGTCAACACCCTTCGGATGCCGGAACTTGACCTCCCAATATCCAGACCATCTATAACCCTCCGGAAGTTCCAGATCCAAAAGGTTTACCGGTGCTTTGGGATCACGACCCATGATGTCTTTATTTTTTACTCGGAATGCTTCGTGAAAAGCAGCAACGGAAGGGGAGAGTCGAAGCTTCTGCTGAGTGTCGAAATCGTGCATTGCACTAATGAAGTTTGGAGCATCTGCCGCCATTAGACTTGTTGACCATCCGACAATTGGAAACCAACGCTGATTTTCATAGATGTCTATATGCATTGTCTGGAAAATTCTCGGTGTTGTGGATTTCGATGAGCCTGCCTCCGATGAGGAAGTGCTTCCATTATATAATTGTACATTTGCATTGCCTTCAGCATTTATTTGTAAGGGGTCATTATAAATCCCGGACAGATTCGACATACCTGTTTATTTGCTCGCTTATTGTTCTATTTTTACCGATGTATAACTGAAAGGTCAGAGCCTCTGGAGGCTAAAGCAAGCAGCGCAATTCAAAATTTGTCGTCTTGATTATGTTTCTCCTTTTCTTAGCAGCTGATTCACTCAGGAAAGGCAGAAAAGGACTAAGGGAAATAGCAAAAGAAAACCTAAATCCAACTTCGATAACTACCCACACAATACCATATGATAAGATGATGTCTTTGCTTTTCGGTTTAAGGAACGATAGGATATGGTAGTTTCAATCTCTCTCAATGAGTAACACCCTTTTGCGAAGTGAGAGAATCGAAGCAATTATAAGGCTCGCAAAAAACGAGTAAGCATGAACTATTTCTCAAACACACAAAAAAGGATAAAACACACACAAATGAAAACCAAAAGCGATAATTATCAGACATGGCAAAAAGTAACACAGCCACACCCACACACAATTGCAAAAAATTGGACAAAATAAAGTAAGTATTTCATAAGAGCAAACGGCGTAAAACAGCCCGGAATAGACTTTTCGAAAAGAATTGTGTGTTTTGAGAGTCCATTATCTCCCAGAAAACAAGGAAAAATTTACCTAATAACAAGACCCACAATTCGGCATTAAACTCATCACAACTATATATATATTTATATATATACCTACGTCGTCCGCATTTCGAAGATGCTTTGTGGCGCGAGAACAAGAATTATTGACGGCACACCCATCCAGTACATACAATAGGATAAAACAGCACCTTTTTGTTTATTAAGAATGTACACAGATTCGTCAGCATAAATTACGGTGCCCTTTTTTCCTTTAAATAGCAGAATTCATAAGCCTATGGCCTCACCACCATCTATAAATATTGGCTCATCTCGAGATCACAATACCGAAGATTTAGCAACACGAATACGAAGTAAAAACCCTCCGTAGATGCACTGAATGATATCTTCGCATCCTAATCCATTCCCACAACTACAGAGCTATGTTTTAGCACACACAATCAATAAAACAGCATTTTTTCTCAAAATAACTATTTACGTCAGGAAAAAGTATGATTTCTATTAATTTTACAAAAAAAAGTGAATGAATTCGTATTGTTGCTAGTCCTTGTCGAAACCGCTATACTTCGTTTCGGTTCTCCTGAGCAAGTGAAAGTGTGCAATCAATGAGGCGCACGGGAGAATTCATCAGAACCTCTATGGATAAGGCGAAAAAGATTTGACTACAAACTTTCAACTATCATGCCTATCATTATTACTTTCTTCGCTACAACAATAATAATAATAATAATAATAAGAACATACACTAAAAATAACGAACAGATACTGTAAAGCGAGCTTCAATCAACCTCAGGTGCCACAACTGAAGACGCTCCCTGGATAAGTAATAATACTGGTAACTGGAAAATATTAGAATCATCAGAAAATCAACTGGCTCCTTTCATGACCCTTCTGAGCTAGAGATAACGCATCAGGTAGACACTATTTCGGAAAGTTATTAAGCACAAATAATTGATAAATGCCTGCTACGTTGTAAACAGCAATGTGTGTATATATATACATATATACATACATATAAATATATATACATGTATATATAAGAACACAATAATTAATGACCCTTTTGTGGAGAGATAAAAGAACCGTAGACTTGTTTTAGATGTTCCAGGAGTCCGTCATAGTGGGAGGGCTCCACCCAGGTGAACCAGTTAATCGTCGCTAACATCTCCATCTCCAGATGATTCAACTCCCTATTACTCACCCCACCGATACTCGCGTAGTAAGCATTGCTGTAGTACACATCATCGCGGAGTTTAGCGCTGATCATCACCGCGGTGATCGACAGCCGATGGATGTTTCGGAAGGTCGTCGGGATCCCGGTTGCTGCGCAGTACCGATCAATCAGGATGATCGAAAAGATGAAACACTCCGGGGTACACCCTGAGTATTTGGCTATGCGCCGCACATAGTCCCACATGGAGATGCTCGGTACGTGAGTGCTATGAAAGACCGACTGGAAGCTTAGCTCCGCGTGGCGCTGCTCCGTGCAGCGCTGCTGTAGCTCCAAAACCATGAGCTGCGCAAGCTCACTCATCTCCGGAGGGGCGACAGCAGGGGCTTTGGGGGTTCCCGAGACGGTGGACGGCTTATGAGAGGACGCCGGAGCACCCGTAGGGGGCTGCTGCTGCCGCGGCGGTGGCGGCTGTTGCTGCGGTTGCGATTGAGATTGCGATTGCGTCTGCCACTGCCGCGCGTACCCATACGCGGGCTGACTGCCGCTCGCACCCCCTCGAATCGAGTTCTGGTAACTAGAGGCGGTCGTATCCGTGTTAGGACTACTACGATCCGCGGAGGGGGGACCGTGGGTGTGGTTGGTGCTACTCGAACCTGTGGTGGAATTATAACTAGAGCGAAAGAAATTCATTGAGTGATGAGAAGAGTTCTCACCCGAGTTGATGCCATGGTTCACGTTGGACCCTACCGGCTCGAAATGTGCTTGACGTATTTGGCCCGGCCTCGCCATCTTTTTGGAGTCAGGCTT